TAGTTTTTTGATGCTGAAGTCCTTGACTAGCGAGTGCTCCGAAATTTCTAGCTTAGAATATATCTGATCAAAGGTACTCTTTTTGGGAATCAAATGATTGGTTTCGCATATTTCTACCTACTATTCCCCCGCATGCAGTTATCGTGTAATAATTTCCAAACTTATTTTATTACTGCAGGTGCACTAAAAAACGAGTCGCAAGATAAAAAGGCAATTAACAAAAAAATATTATATATACTACTTGCATAATAGAAAAAATAATTCGAATTTTAATCTTGTAATTTGGTGTAATAAGCAGAACTGCAGAAGAATATCAAGATCTAATTTATCAATGACTGATCAGTTGATTACTTCCCTCTGGTCATTTGAAGAGACTCGCTGCTTTTCGATAGTCTAAGTTGCAGGATGAATTATTCCATAAAATAATCGTCATTAGTCACTTTAATTATCACGTATCACAATTATAATTAACACTTGTAACTTTTCATGTACTGAGTTTCTTGTATATCAATTTGTCTTATATTCTCTTTGACGAAGAAGATCTAAACATTGACTTCCATCAGCGTAACACAACCTGTTGCTGACTGTGAAGGCGGACTAGAATGCGAAGAATGTGTTCAGAAATTCAGTGGAGCGGGTAAGGGATTGTCCGACTGTAAAGCTTGCAACTAATAGCCCCAGATAAGGTACCAATTAAACCCTGTGTGGCTGCAAGAGAGATTGACATCTCGGCGAGTTATTTTCCGGTCGTATAGCAGATTAGCTGCCAACTGGAGTTGACTTGGATACAAGTTAGAAGCAACAGCGCGGCAAATCCAACGTCTGCCAGAATCTGGGATGTAGTGGAGTTTGGGAGCGGGTGTCTCAATATATATGATATATATAATGGCTGTTGCTTTTCGCAAACTGATGCCGTGCTTAGAATTGAATCCGTTTTTTTTTTCTCGCTTGCAGACTTTTAATGCAGCAATTGTATCCGTTCGTCACCATTTGTATCAGTCTCGAGCAACTGCATGATGTCAATGACCAGTTCAGTGCTCTGAAAATAAGCTTGTCTGATGGTGAGCGCAATAAATGAATTTTTTTTATAGTGACCATATTAAATTGTCTGTGTCATCATAAGGTCATTAATTATTATCAAAGCCACTTTGAGTGTTTTTTTCCTAGCCACAACCAATTAATAATGTGCGGTAACACCAATCCTTTGGTTCTGGTGAATTTGCCAAAACCATCGCTGCTATATTACAAATTTTCAGACAACATCAACCGCAGGAATGCCTCATGCCGCGCTGACGAAACATTCCAGGTATTTTAGTAAAGCTTCGCCAGGAAAATATTCTGTATCATTCTAATGCCTGTAAATTTTCATAACTCCTAATGGCATTCCTATATAGACGTTGTTGATCAGGGTCGGCGATTGCCTCAACGTTTAATGCGAGTTCGTATCACAGGAGGGTTCGTTAGAATGGCCGACGTTCATCGGCTATTTTGAGAAGTATAAACTTCAGGAATATAGTGAAGAAGTATAATATGGTCGTGTTGAAACGAACACAAGTGACAAATTTTCAAGTAGGAAGAATATGCAGTTTTTTCCAGCTCCTTCTGCTAACACTGGAAGGCAGCGAGGAAATTGAGGATCAACATGTAAAGAATTACGAAATAGAAAGAAGTAGTATGACAAATATTCAAGCAGAGAATACTGAAAGTGGGAGAAATGAAATATTTGCAACTACCAGTAAAAGAAGATAAGGCGAAAAAATTTGCGTTATATGCTAAATAATATAGAGAAAGGCGATGAAATAAAGGGAAAAAGCGACAGCCAGAAAGAGAGGGATACTGCAGCAAAGAAAAATGGCCTAGAAAATAACAGTGAAAAAGTCGACGGAACTTCAGGAAGGAAAAATATGTAAGAGAGAGAATGGAGCAGAAAAAATAAATTGTAAATGAAATTTATTTCAACCTTTCCGAATCCCGACGAGATTATGTATGTTAAGCTACTTTGTTTTAAAGGAAGAAGATTTCAACAAGAAGCTTATTTTTTATGGTTTGGATATCACAAAGTATAAATTACCAGCGAGATAATATGTTCAATATTTCATTTTTCAATGGTGAAACTGATATTTAGATAAAGTATGTTTCAATTATTTAGTAAAGCTCAGAAAAATCATTATTATATAATGCCATTCTCTGTATCAGATAATTCAATAATAATGATATTCACGACATCTGTGTGACTCATTGTCAGTGCAAGCCATCATTTCAATATGTAATTCATCATTCATATCATTCAGTATTTAAGTGTGACACAATTTTAGTGTTATTCATTTTCAGTACCATTCCCGACAGATGTGAGATTCATCATCAGTGCCATTGACGATATTTGCACGTGTATCCGTATTATTTTCATTCCTATAATAATTATTCTTTGTCATTAATATTAAAATTGAGTAGCGCGGTGGGGATTTCTTTGACAAATCCAGAATTACATTCAGTGGAATCTATTACAGGCAGGGTCTAACTTGAGGAGTTATGTACCTAATGGTTTTTAAATCATTTTACAACACATATAATCTTCCGGAATAAACTCTGCATGCGCTTCCAATCATTGAGTTTCCGATAAAATCGTTTTTAAATAATCAAATAAATTATTCTAATATTCATTTCAGTGGCATTTTTTATTCAAATCGAAATAAACTTAGGAATTTGCCGAGATTCTTTTTAAAATTTTCAGTATGCAGATTCAACAAAGAAATTATTTTGAACAAGCGATGGTTCTTAGATCTAATTTGCCGAACAAAATGTCTCCCGTTAATTATAGGGGAGCGTCTGCGTAAAAAAAAAAAAATATTTACGGACGGATCATTTTGAAACTTGATACACATATGCAAAACAGAAATTAATAACTTTTATGTTAATGTAAATTTGTCGAAAAAGTGAAAGAAACCATGAAATTCATAGAAAACGGCAAAAATAAGGGGGTTACTGTAAAAATCTATCACCTTATAATTCAATTAACTTGCTACAACATCGAGCGAGAGATATATATCATTCGATTTGTAAAAACAGTATCTAGCGCTCGATCGATCATTTTTTTCATTTTTTATGATGTTTTTTTCTTATTGTTGTCATCCCCCCCCCCTCCACTCCCCCGTTTTTTCAATATACAATTCAAGCTAAAACGAAATTCAAAAAAATGATCGGTGGATCGCTAGATATTTTTTACAAATCGAATGGTAAATCTCTCAATGCTGTAGCTTGAAAATCATAGGAGGAGGTAAATTTTTAAGGTGACGTATTTTGGAAATTTTAAATGTTCAGTTGAGCCAAGCAAGTAAAATTTATTGAAAAAAAAGAAGAATATACCCAAAAAATTGCTTTATATTGTAACTCAAGCTTTCTCTTCGCCAATTAGTTGCATTTAGGGTACCAGCATATGCGTCTTTAGACTTATTCTTGTCCAGTTTAACGGGAATAATAAGCTATAAATGTGATTTTTCGATGTTTATATAAATTAAAAATGTTCATTTTATTTTATTTTTTAAAAGTTCAAAACGGCCTAGTGCAAGAAACATTGCATGTACATCTGTGGCATTTGCTTTTTTGAGCGCGCATCGTTTGTTGCTTTCACACGAGTGCAAACACTTCGTATTCGTGTTTGCGCTTTAATTTTTTTACCCTAGCTGACGCTCCTCCTAATTAAAGACATTCTGCAATTGTCGGGTTACGCTTCAATTGAAAATTAAAATTATTGGCAAAAAATTATCCTCATTTAAAATAAAATGTTCATTCATCAGTGCGCGCAATTTGTACTATATTAAAATCGTCGATATAATATAATGATTAAAATCTTTATCATATTAATTCTTCCACGGAATTAATTCAGTTTAGAAGATCCGCATATACGTTCTTGCATTTTTGGCGTTTCAATCATTACACTTATATCAGTACATAATTATATATTAATTACATTAAAAAATGTCAGAACATTTATATAATCATATCACACTAATGGCAGTACATATCTATATAATCATTCCACTATATGATGTCGATAGATGTATATAACGCTAACACTGTCAGTACATGTACATAAAAGTATATATAATATATAACCATTAATATATAATAATTACACGAATGTCAGTCCATAATATAATCATTGCACTAATGTCAGTACATGTATATAATCGTAACACTAATGTGTAATATAATCGTTACACATACGTATAAATAATCATTACACTAATGCCAATACATATACGTACACATAATCATAGCATTAATGTCAGTGCATATATAAATCGTATAACATTATTGTCAGTACATATAGATCTAATCATAACACTAATGTCAGTATAAATATATATATTCATTACACTAATGCCAATACACACGTATATATAATCTCCACAATAATGTCAGTACATAAAATATGACACCTAATGACTATTAATAAAGTTTCCTTTATAGCTATAAAAGTACGGGTTAGATCGACGACAATCATTCATTTGTTTTGTATTGGCGCCGACGAACTTGTGAATTGATGCCATCTTAAGCTTTATATCGGGTTTTTTATTAACCTACTACTTCATTTAGGCAACTGACTCTCGGATTTTTTTAGCTTTTGGCTACATTTTTATGAAAGCTAAATCCTAATTTTCATATATTTTACGTACATATGTAGAAATAAATGCAGCATTTAAATACCCAGGCGGCAGAAGAATATCTAAAAATACATTTTCATTCCATATTATCTGAATCTTTAAGGTCTTGAGAAATTATACCAGCTTTCAATTTGTAGTCGGGCTCGAAATATCCTAAAATAAAATGACATTCAGATTCCACAGTATTTAAATTTCCAAAAATATATACTCACAATCAACTTGAATGAGGCGTGACCCAACATACCCCAGCAACTCTAAGTTACCCAACATACCCCAGCAACTCTAAGTTACCCAACATACCCCAGCAACTCTAATTTCCCTAACGTGTCAGAATACCTCGGTCATGAGTCGGTCGGCGCCGGTTCCTTCCTCATCGCGGAAGATGATATCGGGGTTGTAGTTGGGCACGAGCGCCTGGAACCTGGCGCTGTCTCGGGTTATCGGGCCCTCTGTTAGTCCAGAGGCACCGAGCGTGTTCTCGTACACATTAGGCACGTGTTCCTTGAAGATTAGAGGCATGAGTTTACGGGTAGATCTCCTACGAGCACCACCTCTGCCTGGTCCACAGCAGTGCACGAAGGTGTTCCGCAGCATCAGCATTACGAGAGCGCAGGCAAAAGCCCTCGTTACTGCATCTCTCCGCATAATTTGGATCACCTCCGTAAAACTCTTACATACACACAAGACATTGCCTGCCCGCTCAACTCTTACAGCTATTCACTCCTGCCATAGACAACTTGGGTGGCCCAACACATCATGTCACCAGCCCACATCAAACTGAGCGCTAGCCTCTCATTTAGAAGGCGGGGCGTCGTCGTGTCGGCACACGCGGGGAACCGCGACGAAGCATTGCGTCCATTGGAGGCAAGCGCCAGACCTCAGGTAACTTCTCAGCCAATGGCAAGAAATTCTTGACCAGAAGGCCTCAAGGAACATTAGTTATAAGGGATACTAGCAGCCAATCATCAAGCAGGGTTTATCTAACCCGCCTTCTCAAAGTCCCATGATGTTAGAATAAGAATTTCACTGGACATCGGACATGAAATTTTTTAATAAACTCTAGATTCCCTTTGAAATACTGCTGACACAATCTGATGCTCGACTTGAACTGCACCTCACATATGGGCGTTAATAAACCCGCGAAAACGGCAGGTGATCTCTTTACAACGGCACACGCAGCTGATCATGATCGAAAATTTAGGCAGCAATTTGCCGAGCTCACAAGAAAAACATATTACGTTGTGATCGGGTCTTCGGAAAACCTGCCACACCTGAGCCAAAGTTGGTGCACACTGAACATCAAAAGACTTACTTGTAGATCATATTGATAACTTAACAAATTAAATAAATATATTATAAATAACTTTGCAAATTATAACTGATTTAAGCCCAAGGGCCGTAACGCGAAATGTAAGTTTGAAATAGCGAACATATGCACCCGCTTGTCGCTGGAACTGACGGCACAGAGGCGGCCAGGCTGTTGCTTTCTTCCATACAATGCAACGTTATACTAAGTTCATCAAAATCATAACAACTTTAAATCAATTTTTAATTTAATTTCCGGTCAGACATAAATGTTTACTCTAGGGTGTATTATGTATCTTACAGTTTTACAAGACATTTCACTTTTTAGCAAGAACAGCAGGTGCTTGAATCTGAAAGTCGAGTTATGGTTGCCAAATTGAAGATGTATATATAATTGCTGTTCTCCTGTTGATGAATGAAGATAGAATGCAAGATATATCGAAAAATTCTCACCCTTTATATCAACGTTTTAAGCAATATTTTCTGAATTTTTTTTTTACTCTTCGGAAAAAGTAGTTATTCAGATACCTATCCAGTTTGAAAATTTTTTAGACAATTCCAACTATTGTTATTATAATCATAATTATTCTAGGAAGCAGTTATCGTGGCGTCTGATCGAGGGCACGTCACACATAAGTGTATAATAGTAAGCAAAAAATAAATAGACACAAGAAATGACGAGAACTGATATAATTAAATGCATGACTATTGCTCGATAGTAATGTAAGATTAAATGTATATTTTGACATGATATCGAAGTTACGTTTGTATACGGGGGCTAAAGTTAAATAACAGTTAAGTCAAGCTTCAAGCTGAAAATTTGTGACGTACAAAATGTCTTAATCAACTAATTAAATTCAGCAATATGTCTGCCTGCCTCCATCTGTTTTAACAAATTATCTACATTTCATAATTGTCTATACATTATATATGGCATCATGAATGCATATGGTACTCAACACGTATATATTAATTTATTTTTATTTTAAATTTAATCATGGTTAATTATATTTTTTTATGAATGACGATTCGAATTATATATTATGTCCATTTGTTTTGTTACATATAATTTGAATTTTTCTAAACTTTTTTTTTATCAGCTGCTACCTCTTGGAAAGGTCGAACATTAAATCCCACGGCCTTTTAAAAATGATAATTTCTTCGTGAAATTTTGAGTGCAGCGAGTCTCATCTAGTTTATTCTTTTAATATTCATTCAACAAAAGATGTAATAATTCTTAAAAAATAACTGCAGACTTATTACTGAATTTCTGCAATACATTTAAGAAAAAAAATGGATTCAGTATAATGTCGATTCCAATATATAACGTGAAGGTAAATTCATGTGTAGATATATATATTTCAGTGATATGTCCCATCAAACTAATTCTAGGAATCACTCTTTAGGTTATAATTTATTTTCAGAACTGCTTTTATTTTCTATATGTCAGCAGTCTCGAATTAACGTCCACTTTATTGTCATGCGTGGCCGCCATATATGTGGTGAAGATCCTCAACATATACTGCATGCTCTTCATATTCGATCAGCAGCTTGTTTCAAATTAATTTTTCATAATTAATTATTATATAATGCGGAAGTGAAGAATTTCTAATTGCTATATGAATTGCTATATTTGAACCAATTCTTTCATATGACAAAAAATTTTCATCTTGACGCCTATAAATAAATGATAGCTATAAATGACTCAAGCAACTATAAATAGGTAACAACGATGATGAATTTAAAGAACCTCGTATTTTTTTATTCAATCATATTCTCGAGTGTAGCTTTGAATTCGAGAAATATTCATGCGCCATATAACAAAGCTAAACCATAAACCTTGCTGTTGAGGGAACAATTAAACGAATGCAAACTGACAGCAGCATTTCGTACGCGATTTAAAGCACAGCAAATTGACGCTTACTCTCGTTAACTCCCTCGAATTATGTTGCTTCTCAAACACATTTTAAAGACCTATTTTAAATCTGCCCAGCCACTTTCTGTGTAACTTAATATAAAAGCTGGTCGGAATGCAAAAATTGCACTAATTTTGGTCTTAGAATTGGATAGTGCATGCACATAATAACTTTCCTAATTTGTGATGCATTAATTGCTGTTGTCACACATCGAACATCAATCTCACACACTGGGTTCTTATAATACAACATAGCTGATAGAAATTCGAGAAAAACTTAGTAATTTTTATTCATTTACCTGCTGATAGAGTGATTTTAAAAGGATTTAAACCTCACTTTCTTGTATTGGTATTGAACTCTGAGGTATCATGCGTTAAAGAACAGCAGAACGACACAGAAATTCGCTAAAACTTGAGTTATTTTCATACCTCAAATAATATGAGTTTTCTTGAGTAACCGCTAAACATCCTGGGCATAAAAAATGTATTCCCAGTTTTAATGTAAAATATCAGAAAATAGCCATTTGGATGTTCATATTGAGTGCTTTTTAACTGGACCTAAAGTCCCTGATCTCCTTCGGCCCGGTACAAGGTTGCCAGAGGGGCCGTTTTCCGGCCATATTCGCCGACTTTGGATTTTTTAAAATAAAGTTGGCCGGTTAAAATTGGCAAAAGGCCAAATATGACAGATTATGGGACATTTTTGTTTATGCTGTAATAATTTTTTCGATAATTAACTTTTTTTTAAAAATATAGTTTTATTTCGGATATATGTAGGGAAAACCTTTTTGCTTTAAATCAAAGAATAAAATATATACTCGGACATTATTAATGGATTATCGTATCATATGCGTCAACGGGCTAATGCAAATAAGAACCACCAGACTGTGAAATATCTGCCCTCCAACCAGCAAATTAAGCATTAATTCCTTAATGGTGGTAAATTCGCCGCTTATGGGAATATGTGACGAACGAAATTTTTGTGCTTCCTTTCCACGCAAAACTTTGTTAATTATTCTTATCAAAATACGTGACTTAATTTAAGGCGTTAGTACGTACCATGTTTGACTTACCAAATTGGAGGACTTCAATCAACACAATAATATTTTAAATCAAAAAAACTTCCAAAGTGAATTTTCGAACCGCATATTTCAAATATTTTTCACCTAAATCAAATTAGGCAGTTTTAGCCCTTTTGTGTGCTGATATGGTCGTTTTTTAAGCCATCGTATGGGAACTCTGGAGTCGTAGCTGTCTTGACAGTCCCTCGGAATCTGGATCGTCACACTCACAACATTGCTACAAGAGGCAGCGTGTGGTTCCG